GTCCTCTGGTGTGTGTGTGGCGGGAAAAAATTCCCCGAGGGCGTGTGAAACCACCCGAAATATCTCCGAAACTCGAGTTTTTTTTTTAAATTGGAAAAAAATCATCGGTGGGAAATCACGAGAGGAATCGATTGCAGCACTTTATTTTTGAATCGTACGGTTGGATTGTCCCCAAGAAACTAAGCAAAATACCCTCCAATATCCGATTTTTCGCCCATAACTCCGTTCTTTTTTTATTTTTTGTCAAGTTGGAAATCGGAAAAAAATCATCGGTGGGAAATCACGAGAGGAATCGATTGCAGCACTTTATTTTTGAATCGTACGGTTGGATTGTCCCCAAGAAACTAAGCAAAATACCCTCCAATATCCGATTTTTCGCCCATAACTCCGTTCTTTTTTTATTTTTTGTCAAGTTGGAAATCGGAAAAAAATCATCGGTGGCAAATCACGAGAGCTGTCCAAATCCGGTCTCAGATTTTGTGTCTGCAAAAAACACCGCCCTCCAGAAAGTAAGCAAGATTTCTTGAATATCTGAACATATCGAGCGAAGGACGAAAAAAAAAAAAAATCCCCGTACGAAGATGCGCCTTGAAACGTCGATTTACGCGGTATTTTCAGATTTCGGAATAAGTACCCCCACCCCGAGAAAAGTGCACCTTTGTGCAGGGGAAAATATTGTGAATATTTGCCCGAACGGACCATAGGACCGAAAATAGGAAGTGTGTGACGATCACCGGACAATGTAGCAGGGCGGGGGAAGAGCAAAAAGAACGCAGCCATCCGCCTCCAGGAAACCAAAACAGGAGAGAAGAAGAGAACACATGTGAAACTGCCGCTTGACACTCACTCATGGGCCGCGAAGACGAACATCCACCAGTGAAATCGGGGGCGGTACAGTAGAATATAGCACCAGCCGAGTGGGTTAGTTTAGCGCTGATAGCGACGAAGAAACTCGTACATACGGCCGCGTTCAAAGAGAGTCCGAGGTATACTTGTGACTGCTGTAGGACGTCGGCGAAAAACAATCGCGGAAGTAGCCAAGAACACTATTATTTGGCGCCGGTGGCCCAAAACAACTCTCGTGTCCGTTGTTGCTGCCTTTCATTCACACTAAAAACCGGTCTCTCCTCGGTTAAACAATACTATGTGGTATGCTAAAAGCGGTACTGGTCCAACTGACGCGGATGCCTTCCGTGGTCGCAAATCAAAGTACCGCCGAAAGGGAACACGCCTTTTATCGAATAAACCAAGGAAAATAGGAACCCAAGCAAACCCCAACAGTAGGTAAGGAGCAAATGCCAACCACGTCCCATCCATCTACCCCACCTCAGAACGCAATACGAGTTGAATAGATACCAGAACGGAAACGTCGACGCAACTGAACGTGACCCCAAAGACCCCACATCAACCAGCTTGGCGCTACACTTGAATTCAGTGGTAGCGGTACTTTCACCGAGACGCGTAGAATAACAGTCTACAGACCAATCTCGACGGCACCGCCGCTACGTTTTCAAAACCCTCGCCTCTGAGCGCGTGCTGCCCCACCGTGGTCTGCGGTACTTCGATGTGTACAACTTGCACTGCTGCCAGCAGCTGCCGGCCGGGTGTCAGCTATTCAGCTACAGCTGTACGGCAAGCACGGCGCCAGCTACATCACCGTCCGCGCTCGTTTGTTCGTGTCAGCTATTCAGCTACAGCTGTACGGCAAGCACGGCGCCAGCTACATCACCGTCCGCGCTCGTTTGTTCGACATCCCACCACCGTCTTCGTCGTCGTCATCGTCTTCGCTGTCGCTCCACGCGCCATCGTCCGAACTCGCGCCGTCACCGTCGTGTTCGGCCCTTCCACCGTTTTCTACACTGCTATCCTTCCGGGTGTTGCTGCTGCAGTCGTCGGCATCATCTACATTTTGTGATTCACCCCGACGAACGCGGAGAAGCATCAGCCGAAAATGGCAAGAATAACGAAAAGAGCCAAGAGGTTGGACTGCAGTGTGTGCGTCATTTAGTGGTGAAAAACAGCGGGCAACAAAACTCAAAGAGATAAAAAAGAAAGCACAAACGCATACAAGCTACTGAACAATTTAGCTTGCAACACGTCGGGAGGGGGGGACTCAACCTTCAATCATCAGAAAGCTACGCCACCCATCATGCTGAAGACTGCCGTCACCACGACTATTTAATGGCCGTTGTCATGGCGTTGGTTTTGTCATGCGATACAATAGTGTTGAGGACGTATTTGGTTCGCGATTTAAGGTTCGTGAGTGTGCTTCTGCGAAGTTTTCCTGGTAGCATTGTTCGGAAAAGTTTCGTCCATTTTTCGATGGACGGAGAAAGACAAGGTTGCTATGATATTTCATATTGAGCAGGTCCCTTTGTGCTTTTGAGCCACGACGTTGTTGCACGATTTTATGGAAATTGTAAGAGGTTGCTTTGGTAGCAAAGTATAGGGATTATTTCGTGGTACTGTATAATGGCCCTTTGGTATTCACAGTGTTTCCAGCCACAAGTTCCAGCATTTCGAATGTTAGGTGTCTCCAATCTTGTGCAGGGAGACGCGAATCAATCTGACTACCAAAATTTGGTCAACAGCAGTCAGTCGTGCAAAGGTCTGCGAGGACTAGGCGCTCCGCATTTCGGACGCGTTTCATACCTTGCATTTGGATACACAACGGAAGTTCAAATCTTAGGGTCTAATCTTGTCACTCTCAGCCGCGAGCAGGATAATGCTGTGACCTTCCAAGCCTGCCACCGTCCCACGACGGGCATAGGCTACAGTTAGCGCCCGCATTCAAGAGACGTCAGCTTCGGGGTCGAGGCTCGATCTCATACTTCGTGACCACCATCGAGCAAAGGTCATTTCGCAGAGTATAGTGTGGGATCCACGGCTGATATATCGCCAAAATCTGAGTCTTCGATACCTGAAAGCTTCTTTCTCAATCACGGTTGCAAACTGTACTAGCTGCCAACCTCGGCGAATCCCTAACCCCGAACCTCTACAATACACAGATGGACCAGTGCGTGGAGCACACCTGGGGGCTTCTGCGCAGCCGCCGCAGGACCTTTTCCTTTCCCCGCGTCGGAGTCATCACTCCCGTCGCCGTCAGCAGCGGACGACGCCTCGGCGGTCCCATTCCCATCCCCCCCCGTGGGAGACGGCGGTGACCGCACGCCACCACTAGTAACCTTGCCGACCTCGTCGTTTCCCGCCGCCGCTGCCGCTGGTGCTACCGAGTTTTCTTTACTTCGGCTATTCTTATCTGGAGATAAACTTCCCAGCTTGTCGCCAACCGCAGAGGGACGGCCATAATCCCTACTTGTGGTGGCGATCGAAGGAACCGATGTCTTGCCGGCCTGTGCGCGTGGGCGCGGAGAATCAGGCAGGCGGGAAGCGGCGGACGGGGTTGCAAGAGAAAAAAAACACAAAAGCAATACATACATACGGCCGTGGGGGAGAAGGAAGAACTACTCTGGCCGGTCTCGAGAGATACACCGGGGACCTGGGCAACCGAACACCGACCGGGCTCTCAAAAGCTGGACTCTTTTCCGCGGATAGCGATGGATCCGCGGTCTTACACAAAGCAAGAGCTGACAAAAAACTGAGGGTACAAAACAACCATGGCTGTTGAAACAGCACCACCCGCAACAACGACGGTTTCACAACCCGGGTTACGCAGGGGCACAAAACTTTACCACCTGCCCTCTGGCTGGCAAAAAAACGACAAAATGCACCTTTCCCCCGCCGTCTCTCGGGGCGGCGGCCGTGTCCTCGGCTGTCTGTCTCTGCGTCGGTGGTGCTGCCTTGCTGCTCGCTGGGCTGGGCTTGTCCTGTCGAGCGTGCTCCTCCACGTGGGCTCGCGCAACGTCCGCGAACCGCGACGGGTTCTTCAAGAAGAGCTCCGTCTGGTTTTAGGTAGTGCCGCGCGCGCATCGCTCCAGGGGTGTCAGGAGGAGGGGGAGTCGAACAGCAGGAGCGCCCGGGGGTGCTACATGTTGTGCGCCGTTCGTGATACCCGTACCATTGTGCGCATTCTCCGCATGACACAGAGCAGCATTGCAACTTGTAGTAGAGATACACCCAGCCACTCAGTAGATAACATGTGAAACATAAAGGGTAATTCTTTGCGTGTCTTGTCTTTCCGGAGATGGAGGGGCCCAGGGCGGGAGGCGGGCGGGTTGTATGCATACGGCTTCTTCCTTGCGTGCTGGTGAACGAAAACTCTCCGACAGGTACCGACCGACCGCATCGCACCACACTAGATCATGCAAAACCCCCCGTGGGGGTGGGCGCTATCATAGATGCGTTCTACCAGACGGGTGCATGCATGCCGGAGCGAGACCTTGAACTTCACAAAATTTTCCGCGTTTTGGCAGAAGCTTTGGGCAAATCCCCTAGCACGTACCACTTGCACCTTTAGAAATGCCCACGGTTGTGTGATCGATCAAGCGGATCAGCAACAAGCACGCAAGCTGGACGAAAAGTAACAGCGGCTCCCTTCGGACAATCAAAACCGCCTGTAGCGATCGGGGCTCACCGACGTGTCACGAAAAAAAACAGACTTCCTGAACGCCGACGCACGTCTTGCATGTACCCAACGGCTCAGACACACTCCGAGAATTGCCAGGCAAGCGGCTTTCCCATCTCACCAAATGGCTTAGATGACGGGAGGCCCTAGAGTTAACGTCCCGACTCCAAACAAGAGGTAACCACGACAGCAGTCGCGCGACGGAAAACAAATTGCAAGCCCAATTTTTCTCACAATGTCTGGCATCAAGCCGTCGTCGCCGTTCGGGTGGGCCATGAGAAGGCGAATGGTTGTCAGCAGGGTGGGCACGTTCATCGAAGGGGCCCAAGAGCCCTGTGGGAAGGCGGCAGCGAAAACGTCACGGGAAATACAAACGAAAACTGTAAACATCATGGCCACGAGGTGATGCACGTCCAACAGCGGTAAGACACCGGGTGATGGGCGACACCACTACCACCAACGTAGACATCGGGGAAGTCCTGCAAGGGTCCTCGAAGAGTAAAACGACCAAGACAAAAACCTCTTGGTACTTGCCATACGGTTCGTGCATCCAAACAAAAACGGCGTTCTTGTTGTCTAAACGCACCCCCGCGCCAAACCACCGTCCCCGTAAAGGCTGGCAAATGGACGTACTGTAGATCGCTCTTGTTCGCTTCTGAAACGCAACCCCGTGGGACCATGCTGCCCGTTCGAACGCGCTCACTTCTGGAGTTCCCGGGGATGCCGCATCGCTAGACAGCAGGAAAGGGGGCGTAGCGTACTCGAGCGTTCCTTTCGCCGGAACAAGGTAATCGTTGACTACGCATCCATTCCCAGATTGGGCAACGCTCTGATCTCGAGTAGAGATGTACACCTCCTACTCTGCAATTTGCTGGGCGATGCCCTGTGCGTTTTGAGTGTCTTTAGCGATTCGTCAGATCAAGTAATGAGTCCCCTCACAGTCAGGTGTTGCGCATGAGGCAAACACCAGCAAACAAAGGAAAGAGGTGGCGTATTTGGTGGCCCGCGACCACAGAACTTTTGTGCTTCGCGATGGTGTCGCCAACACAGCAAGTAGCCTTTCCAGAGTTTTTCGTCTAAAAACACATGTTGGATAAAGTATGCAATTGGGGAAGTTGGGGGCTACAGCTAGGGTCTGCGTACCCTCTCCCCGTTCTATTTCCTTGGCAAATAATGTAATTTCTCGCGAAAGCGGCCCCGGCAAAACTCCAGTTTTCTCACCGCTGGTCGCATCTTGAGGGTGTCGAGGCAGATGCGGCCTCCGCTGTCGATGTTGGGGTGGTAGATGGGCGTCACGAAGCGCACCTTGGGGGGTTCGAAAGGATACCTGGCATCATCGTCAACGATTGGTTGTTGGTGTTTTATGCCGTGGGGGCGGGGGGCGGAGGCGTTCGAGGAAAGGTATGTCGGCGTGATAACACCAGAAGAGGCTGAGAGAGAGAGAGGAGAGAGAGAGAGAGAGAGATCCAAGACGCGCGTTTTTCGGAACCCTCATGCCGTGGAGGACGCATATCCAAAATACGACGGGGTGATGACGAGTGTGGATCGGGGTGCCAAAACTACAGTGCCATCGCTACCGTCTCATGACCTACAAAAGCAAGCCGCATGCAACCCCACGGGAAGTAGTATTGCCAGTGTCGAACAAGCACTCTAGTCTACACCGCAACAGTGCACACACACGAGCCACCGTCTAGACTGCTGGTTTTGCGCAAGCCCCCACAACGGTGGTCACCATATGGCCTATTCCCGTTGTACGGTACATGGTGGCGCACACCTGTCAGGGATCTTTAGCTCCAGCAAGAACGTTCCACGCTCGTACGGCGTGTCCTCTGGTCCCTGGATTTCTGGAACGTGGTTTGCCGTTGTCGCGGAGGAGAGGGAGGAGTGCGGAGTTTTTGGAATCTTGCGCGCACGAGCGTGCTTTGTGTGTCAAGCATGCACCAGGCGGTGAAGACAACGTGCGGAGGGTACGTAGGAGCACCTCCGACAGATTAATGTCCGTCAGCGCGTTATTGGAACTGCCGTACCGCAGTGCACTTGATTATCTGCGATAAGTGATGTGGGCCAAGCCATGCAAGCATAAACGCGTACCTCTTGTAAAACCGCTTGGCCGCGGTCACAGAATGAACGACGCATATTCCGCGTGTAAGTGTGGTCCGTTCGGGCAAATATTCACAATCTTGTTTTTCGCGATATCTTTCGAAAAAAAACGATTTGGAAAGTGAAACAACTTTGGGCGTGACCGCGGCGTCGAGCTTCGTCGATATCCGATGAGTTTTTGGTGATTGGGTGAAATGCGACATTTTTGACCAAAATGACCCACGGAGCCCCCAAAGTACACCACGACCCCCCCTCAACCCCTCCCTTCTACACGTATATGCCTTCAGAACATCAGTTAAACCGTTGTCAATCCATATTTACATTATTTACACGTTACATATGTACATACATACAATACCGCCGTTTACTTTCTACTCAACCCCTGGCTGGTGAAGGTGTTGCAAACAAAGCATGCAGCAATCACATCCGTATTCTCTAAGCAAGTCCGATACCAAGAGAGACAGCTATAGCGTTGAGTTGGTGACCATGACGAACGCCTCTACCGCGCCTAAACGCAAGAAACCAACACTACAACACACCGCGACATATAGATACGTACCCTCCCCACTCACGCCTGAGCGTGCCCGCCCAACCATTTCCTCAAAAAATTCATCGTGTTGCGCAAAATCCACAGCCGTAGCTGCTCCTTCCGGGAGGCTCTCTTGCTCGTCCACGTGTTGAAGGCTTCCCTGGTCGCTGCCATCGACTTCTTGCGCACTTCCTGCGCAGCCGCAAGCGCCTTCGCCTCGGCTGCCTTC